GGATTATAGGCAACATACGCACTGAGCTAAAGGCTAGAGCTGCCGCTTTCAAGGAACGGAACACTAACCCGGACGCTTATAAAACAATCTGATACACCCTCTGACGAACCATCAAACAGGCTTCAATTACACAACACTATAAGCATGCCCAACATGACCATATTACACCCCTGCGGAACCTCATAACAAACTCAACTTTTCCTTTTAGAGTCAAGATCATTCAAAATGTATAGTGTGGCCTGTAGTATTTTTTTAAGGACTCATTATAACATTGAATATTAGAGGTACCAGTCCAATGCTATGTTAATGAGGCCAGAATTGCAGCAGTCTGTCGAGAGCAGTCAATCGGACATGACATCACGTGACCCAATCGTTATATCCTGAACCATAATAGGGCTCTGGCCCTGACTGTATCTGTCATGTAACATTTTCATTCCAGCAATATTGACATTTTTGTTGATATTCAATTAATTCAGAAATGAGCTCCTGTCTACATTTCCTAGGCTACTGGTGAAGCCTAAGCTAGGCTACTCATGGAAACTCCCATACAGCCTCTGGGGGAAGCTATTCACAACAAACATCAAACAAAGAATGAAACAAATCACCACTTGTAAAACCTGTCTATTGAACTAACAGCAAGCCACCATCTAAGGTTAAACACAAGGAAACCACTAGGCCTAACTAGCTGGGACTTTTTAAGGGAAATTCAGAAGGCCGGAAAACTAGACTTTCACAATCTGTTCCTGTGTTCAGTCAGGACCGGGAGTATCTAATGATTTTTTAAATTTATTTAACCTTTATTTAACCAGGTAAGCCAGTTGACTGAATGAATGGGTGCCTGCGATACTGGCAGGCATCACGGGGTTTAATGGTCCAATCTGCTGTTATGCTTGCTAAAAACTTTGAGATGGAATAATTGCTATCACAAACCACGTTTCCATTCACAGTTTTTATGCGAGTAAAGTCATACCTTATAAATACAAAAATCAGGACAGCTGTTATGGAAACAGGAAGTTTCGGTACAATTTTTAAAAATCGACAAATAATTTGTTCATTCGACATGGTTGGCTGTTTTTGTCGGTAAAATTAATTGTGCGAGAAATGGCGTTGGAAACACCTTTATGCTCAAATATTTAAATAATAACCATCATATCGAAGTAAACTTGGAGTCACGCGATGATATGGTGTGTGGTCCTCCCACTACGACTCGGGAAACCATGCAGTTTATTAGAATATATCTGAAATGAAGTTATGATGAACTTTACAGGGTGGTGAAAATGCACTGTGATCTTGATGCTCCTTGCCAATAAATATCGATGGTCTTATTCTGGTGACATGATGATCGATGCTTGACTGCCGTTTGTTTAACTTTTGAAATGAAGTTGATAGCCTACAATTGCCTTGCTTTCATGTATAATTTTTAAAGGAGTTATTATTCGTTCATTAATAATCAACCCATTTTGTTTCATGTTCAGGACAACCACACACACGTCAAGAGAACACAGGGGGCTTCCGATATGCTACACGCTACAAAGACCTAAAGGAAACGCATGTAGCCTATACTGAACTGTTAACCCCCACATAATCACAGCCATACCACATGCAACTAGCCTACCTTTAAAAGTAATCTGAGTTGAGAGAAAATGACAACATGTTAAGAGCCTAATTGAAAACCATTAGCGCCAGATCACCAAGGCATTTCTCAGGCTAACATTACAATTACAGTATTAATTAACCTCCCTGATGTTACAAGGGGCAGGTGTCTATTTCATTACCAACAAGATAAACAAGATTATTAACTTACTGCACCGTCTGAGAACCATTTGCCCGAGTCAAACGATGAGAGTGCAGAGCATTGTGGGCTAGATAATCCTCACTAAACGCTTCATACCCCTCCGTCCACTCAGATAAGAGCGTCCAACAGCTGCGATTCACGACAGTTAAGATTACATATGATGTAAATATATCGAGGGGCTGGGTTGTCAGCTCTTCCAAACCATAAAATTTACTTTAATGGCATCACGTGTTTCCCGCGAGCCACTCAGGGTCAGCGCCCTAGGCCGTTCTGCATACACAACCTCCAAAAGTTTACAAGTAAAAAAGACAGACAGACGGAAACAAAAAAGTAGGCTATCTCCATACAACAACAAAAAACTACTCTACGCGTTAACCCTGAAACTGACATACCGGATAGAGATGTCAGACGCAGGACCTCTTGGGGGAACTATAACCACAATACCGAAGAGGTGAGTAATGTTTGTTTCATTCTCTCTGACATGGAACAGGGTTTGACATGTAAATAGTGTTGGGGAAATACTGTACCAAGAAGTCGCAGAAGACTGCAGGGTAGACAACAGTTTATCCTCTAGTGGAAAGGGCTCCTTCAGATGTGAAAGGGCATGAGGAGGGGAGGGGTTGATATGGTTGAGATAGCAAGGTTGATGCTGCGTGATGACGGCTCCAGGGGTTCCTCCTAAGGGTTTTTTACATGGTGTCATACTGCTCCCGGTGTAGGATACATCCAAGGACATCATGGAGGCAAGGAATGTAGGCTACTATTACAGACAGACAAGATAGTTGACCCTAACAATGAAACTATACCAGAATTCTCTATGAATAGAGGTTTTGAAAATGATCGATGCACCAGTTTCAACGATAGATATTTAAAAGGGACGTTTTAGTCCCTCAAAAGTGGCTCCATAAATGTGTGTTTTTTATCCAAAAGTTCTGTCAGAAACATTGATATGGACAACATGTGACATTAAGGAAGAAATCATGTTTGGACCTGTTTTGAGTTCATGCCAACTGATAAATAAATTATAAATGCTCGTTTCTGGTCCAAGGTTGGCGCATCATTCAAAACGACTATAGAAAGCTTTTACGTTGTCACATACGTTAGATATTGTGTTGAATGTTCCTGGAAATAGCGTAAGAGAATAATATAGTATTTCTAGTTCAACTGCTGCTTGTGATTTTGATTAAAAGTGTACTTTTCCCTGGGAAAATGGTATTCATTTGGTAAATCTTGGGGAAATTATATTCATTTCATCAACCTTGGGTGATTAAGTTACTATTTTAGCAAAATGAACAGATTGGACACATCAAATGGAATGAGCGTTTTCTCCTGTATTCAGAGTCTTCTTGAAAGTGCATCTGTTTCGCTAGACAGGAAACAATTGTCGTTGTTTGAGCGGTGTTAGGAAAAGCTGTAAAGTTTTATGACGCGTCAGGGCCATAAAGTTTTACAGGCATCCGTCTGTACTGTAAATAATTACAAAGGAAGTGGAGCCTGACAGAGAACCGGCGAGCACGTTGAGAACTGCTAAGGGCCAAAGAGTAAAAAAACAGCCACTTCTTCTTGGAGTTGGCTTATCAAACGGCTACTGAATTAGCCGCACAAGGTTCCAGTATACCATTATACTTTCCCACAACCCGTTTTCCCCGTGACACATTCAAAAGACATGGTGGTAATATAAAGCGCATAAGACGCTGTAGCCCCCACCCCCCACCCCCTACACTATGGTGCTAACTGTTCTAGTTAATATAGGCAATCCAATAATTCAAGTGCATTTCGTTCCAGAGGATCATCCTCCATTCTACCAATCAATAGATTATTATTATTTCCACAAAGTGAAAAGAAAATTGGTCAAGAATATGTTAAATGTAATATGTTAATTTGTTTTACCTACAAGGCCTTCAACGTTTTCTCTGTGAGGAATTATAACCGTGTAGCATATGAAAAAAAGTTGTGACACTTTTGTGCTTTGTGGCAGCCGCCGGAAACGAGGAAATTGTTTAATTGTTAGCTACTCATTGTGGACACGAGTCTCCTGCCTCATCACAACCTTTATGTGAACCCAAAATCTCACATTTGTTGGATAGATACGTTTTCAGAAGAAAAATAATACCATGTCTGTGTTCTTCACTTTCAAACATTGGGCAAATTAATAATTAATAATTATTGAAGTGAACATAATTTACACATTAGGCCTACATAAATTCTAGGTTACAGGTTGTCTACATGTTCCCAAGTAATGTTAAATTGGCAGGAAATGTAAGATGACCAGAACACTGACACTACATGCATTTTTTGTGTTTTACACAATATTCTAAATAGTTAATAATGATTTGTAACAAATGTAATGCTGAGGTTCAAAAACAAATCCCATGATCATACTTGGCACATTGAGTCAGATCTTAGTCAACAATCAGGTCAAATATATTATGTTTCCCCCAAATATGAACCCCCTGCCTATACTGGCAAGTTATGTAGCCTAATACAATATACCTTTTCACATGAGGAAACCATTCACAGTATAGACGTAAAATACGAAATGTATAGTACGATTTAAGTATATCACTGTTCTCACGACACTGCGTCCAAAATCAACCATTTTATGTGGACTATTTTAAATAAAATCACAGAATGATATAGCCCTCGCAATTTACTAAAATGTGTCTATGTTACATCTTAAGATCCCAGGTTGTTTAAACGGGGCTGATAAGAAACACAAACAGAAAATAGTTTGAAGTTTGAAGATAAACTACAAGGAATGTACCTTTTTTTTAAAATATAGAAATAATAGGCAACTCTCACGAAGAAAACAATGGTGATAGTACAGTAGTAATACGATAATAACAATAAAACGTTCAACTTCAAAATAATTTAAGTTAAAAAAGGGGAAGTGATGAAATGTTACAATTGTTAATAGTAGCCTTTTCGCTAATTAATATATTTCAAGCGTTTCCATTCTCACAAGTTATATAAGACTCTGCTGAACAAGTACATATTCAAAGATAGAAAATAAAACAATACAATATTCAAACAAAATAACAGGTATATTACATAATCAGATCCATAATCAAAGAATGTTCAGGATTTATCATCACACTGAAACATCGTATCCCAAAAGTCACTGTTTGGAAACACGGGTGGAGCTGAAAGTCTTTTAATGTCATCTCAAAGGAACGTTGATAACGTTTGAAAATGGCTCCATGTTTTAGATAGACTCTTTCATTTTAAGCTTTGCATCCTTCTTCCACTTCATTCGGCGGTTCTGGAACCAGATTTTGATCTGCCTCTCGTTCAGACAGAGAGTATGGGCGATCTCGATGCGCCTACGACGCGTCAGATACCGGTTGAAATGGAACTCTTTCTCCAACTCCAGAGTTTGGTAGCGTGTGTAACTCGTCCTTGACCTTTTACCATCAGCCTCTGGAGTGTAATTGAGAGAAAAATAATCTTGGACCGCAATTCATAGAAACAGTCTCAACATTATCACTTAAAATATGCCTTAACTTGTCAATGGACATGCAATGACTTGTAGCACATCAATTAATAAGAATGAATAGCAAAACACAGCCTCTTCTGTGACTATATCCTCATGTTAAAAGATGACTTTAAAATGTCAAAGTTACTGTATGGCTGAATTAATGTAGCCTATATGAGGATAGCTGGATGGCTGGATATATGGTCATCAATGTGAAGCTGCTTGAGTTACCACCCCCCCCAAAAAAATAAAAAAAATAAAATAATAAAAAATAAAATAATATATATATATATATATATATATATATATTGTCCATTCGGGTTCACTCAATGATTGTATTACTAGTATGCCTATTACTAATAATATTCTTGTTATTATAATAATCATTATTATTATAACTACAACTTAAACAAGAAGGGTCGTTACAGTTACAGAAATATCCTTTGTCCCTCTAAAGTAGGCTACATGCTGTTATATAACACAAAATAAGTTGCCATGGCAAGTAAGTAGCCTATAAAAAAAAAAATTCTACGTTCAGTTAAAATGCACAGTGAAATCCACAATCTCACCCTTCATCTCTCCTCAAAATAAGCATCATAGGCATACTTATCATACTATCTTGTTTTGGTTCTAAATAAAGTAGAATGCAAACATTGTTTGTTGAGATTTTGCAGGGACTTGTGTCTCCCTTATCCAATTACCCTGTCATAAATTTGGGCGCAGATCGCTTCTTCCGTGTAACAGGACAGTTTTACGAGCAATTGATGACTTTGTCATAAAATTTACGACTGCGAGTTTTATTATTTCCGAATACAGCCTATAAAACTCAAGAAAGAAAAACTGTGAATGGACTCAGGAGGGTAAAAAAAGAGACACACATGGAGGAGAGCGGGTGAGCGAAAGAAACTCTCCCTTTTGTTCAAAATAAAGAAAAGAGATACATGAAACTTTACCGTGACCCATGTGTAGTTTAGTCATCCAGGGATATATTTGTGGTTGCGGTTCGCTGGTTTGTGGCTGAGTCGAATGGTTGCCTTGTCTTACGGGCTGGACGGGTTGCAAAGTTCCGACTTTGATCTCGCCTGTTTGAGTCTTGCAGATTTCGCTGAAATCAGAGTCAGTCTTGGGTTTGCGACAATACAGTCCGAGATTTAGAGAACCCTGGCCGCTTGTCTGCTCGTTCATGCGGCGTCTCTGGGAAGCGTCTCCTGTGGAAGACTCTGGCCGTGGCGTAAGGTCGCCAGGATTGCCATGCAGCCCAGCGTTCATCTCTACCATGCCAAGGGAGCTCGAGGACGGTGGGGATGCGAATGAACCCCGGTGATCATGCCCTCCATAACCACAGTAGCCGGACACGTTGAGTTCGGAGCTAGAGCCGTAGCCATGGTTGTGCAAAGCGAAGGCTGACGATTCGTGAGTTTGCTTAAACAATGAGTTGGCTATGTAAGAGCTCATTTCAAGAGAAGACGCTAAGGAAACGAAATGGAAGCATTTATATGGACTCAATTATTGCGTTCAAGTTTCTATGTAACACGATAATTATAAAAGATGTAGGCCTACAGATAGCAGTTATAACGGTTTGTTATTGTTATTGCGTTTGATTTGTAGCTCTTTTGAAGTTCATGGGGTTTTATCCTACAAATGACCACGATTTATAGGTGGGGGATTTTTTATTTTTTTCTCCATTGCCCAAATATGGGATGTTTCAAAAGAATCACGTGCTTGTATCGGCCAGTCATAAATCTGGCTAGATCACACTTGGAGGTTATTGATGGAAATAGGAGAAACGCCTGATATCAGGGCAGCGGGGACCCTGTTGGGGCACTGGCGGTGCAGTGCTGGACGAAAGGCCGAGAGCGTCACCTGGTGCCAGGGACGGATAAGAGCATAAAACACACAAGCATACCCCCCCCCCCCGCCAAACTATGTAGTAATCTACCTGGCAACAACAACACAAAAGTTGTGTGCATCTGCATGCGCGCACATAGAATATGGTTCTCTCATAGGATAGAACTGCATTGAAGGCCTAATGTTAAAGTTTGTTATAACCAGTTGCAGACAAACTAATTGATTACCACCATAACTACCGATGGTAAAATTGCTCTATAGGTATAAAAGCATCCTTAAAAGTGTAGCATAGAGCAGGCAGTTGGTCTCCAAACTATTAAAGACAATATAATAGGCAGCAACAATAGTGGCTACATAATGTCTGACCACAGCTTTACGCGCAATTCCCACTGGGCACAGACATAAATTCAACGTCTATTCCACGTTAGTTCAACTTGGAAACAACGTTGATTCAACCAGTGTGTGCCAAGTGGGTTGTCAGTAGGATTTCTTTCATTGTTTTTCACAATAAACTGATAATAATAATATGTAATAACAATAATGACAATGACAATGACAGTAATAATAATAATAATAATAATAATAATAATAATGGGCTAAACAATAAATTGCTATGGCATATCACTTTGGCCAGCTGATATTCAGTCACCGTAATAGCAATGCATGAGAACAGTCTACTTGTTTGGGTCGCTATTCTGTAAATTCAAATTTTTTCACTATATGTTTTATATAGTATTTTAGGCCTATCTGGAATTGTTTTCTAAATGGCTTGAATGATCACTAGGAACAATTTTCTCGATAAGGCAGGTATGCCAGAATTCGAAATCGACGTGAGTAATTGTGCGTAATTGTATAGCCTACAACTACTGATAGCCTACTTAGAATGATAATGCCAACGTTGATGATAATGGTGATAATAATAACAGTAACCCTAAGTTATCTCTATTCAAGTTGCATCATTGATTTATCTGAAAAGGTAAAGGGCAAACAGAATGTCATCTAAACAACTGCAACATCTCCTGGCAATGGTTTGAATTGGCTTGTGTGTGACACGTGACCCGACTGGACACGTTTTCTAAAAAGAAGGCCTACTTAATAACACGTATGAAAACTTTAAATCATACTGTGTAAGCTGAAATGGAAGTTTATTTAGACTTAGCAATTAGACAGGCCTCTCAGACAGTGACTTTATATCGAATTGTGTGATTTGCTTTTCCTCTACTCTCCCCATCCACATTTTCCAATATTTCTGTAGCTATTTGAAGTGACTATTCAAAGACTTCACTGCATTGCTTTCACAAAAATAGTGTGCCAATTTATATTGCTTTAACATCTCGGTGAAAGCCTATACCACACAGAGCCACTGACAAATATAAAAAAAACTATAACTCAAACCACCAGGCTTTCTCCTCCTTTCTTTAAGTGGCGAAGCTTTGAATTCACAAAATAACGTGGAAGAACCATTATATAGATAGGGTGGCTGGCTTTGGGTCTGTTATATGACAAATAAAAAACGTGAACAATGATAGTGTACACATTTTAACTGCATGGAGGGCTATAATTGACAACGAGACTAACTTGGTATGATGGGCGCAAAAACATGGACGACAACTTTTTTATTAACAGTTTTATTAAATATGACTTGACGTGAATTTCATAGCCTACATCACTGTTATTGTTTTATTTTGGATTTTCATCTAACACTACAATTAAAGCCACATCGGTCAGTTATGATTTGACCACATGCTCTCTGTAGGCTAGCCTACTGGTACATATCTAAACATAAATAAAGTAAGCTAGATACTACAACAAAGCTGCGGGATGCGGACGAATGCTCTCACAGGACTAAGACGTGTAATATAGATATACATATATTTACAAACATATCAACAATTTAGGTAGTGTGAGTCCTTATTATTCAGCATAGTTTTTTCGTACAACAAAACTAAAAAAAACATCAATGGGTTACTCAAGCGGATGTAACGCTTATACCTTCCTTCACATATTGTTATGACAATTACTTTTGTAAAACATATTGCCAACAAATTCGTCATAGGTGTATAGACATCTGAGAACCACTGTTGTTCATTGCTGTCAAACAGCATTTAAGAAAATATAATGATGAATGTCTTCGCGTTACACACAGTTTGGGTATATAAGGGAATGTCAGGTAAGGAAATAAATTCTGTGGTCAAGGTGAAATGTTCATATCCAATACAGAATGAAATGAAAAAGGCAAACATTGATGTCTGAAGATATGTAGCGTCCACATTGCATTTAACGCAGCCACATCTTTGAATACACTAGTTTCTTTATTGTGCCAAACAATAGTTGATAGGTAGGCTACTTGATAGGTAGTTAAGTTTTCCTCACATCACGGCGGATTGATGCATATAGTAAATTAGGAAGTTGTTCATTCTTTCTTCTCTTCTGTCGCCTCTTCTGTGTCCTCTTTACCTGTGTCTTGACTCGCCCCTGCCGAACCACTTTCGGTGAAAGTCGAAGTTAGATTGCTTTCCTTTTTCCATTTCATCCGGCGATTCTGGAACCAGATTTTTATCTGACGTTCCGTGAGACAGAGTGCATTGGCGATTTCGATACGTCTGCGTCTCGTCAGGTAGCGGTTGAAATGGAATTCCTTTTCGAGTTCTAGAGTTTGGTACCGGGAGTAAATTTGGCGGCCTCTTCGTCTGTCAGAACCGTATCCAACTCCTGAGTGGAAAACACAATTTAAATTAGCATAATCAGGAAATATATTTTTAAGTAAGCTATATGCAATGTCACTACCCCAGCGTTTCTCAAACTCGGTCCTCGGGACCCCAAGGGGTGCACGTTTTGGTTTTTTCCCCTGACACTACACAGCTGATTCAAATTACCAAAGCTTCATGATTAGTTGATTATTTGTATAGTGCTAGGCAAAACCCAAAACGTGCACACCTTGGGGTCCCGAGGACCGAGTTGGGGAAACCCTGCACTATCCAAACACACACAATCACAAAAACCCACGGAAATAATCGATATAGGCCAACATTCACAATCATTCGCAGTCTATGATATAGCCTTATCGTGTCCGGTTTTACATGCTAGCTTATGTTTTGCAATTATCTAAATAAACAACAGTGGTGGTAGCCTACATACTGACGCAACACACACACACACACACTTTCGCTATCAGAGGAACCCAGTCCACTGAGTAATATTTGAAGAGATGATACTCGTCTTAAAATTCCGTGAACTCTGCTATGGGTCACAAAAATATGAACTTAAATGCTATAAAGTCTTTTGTTTTAAGGGAAATAGGGATGGACTGTGACGGAGAAGAGCGCATAGTTTGGCCAAAAGGGATTTCCTACGAAGATAAAAGGTATTTATTGCCGGCGACAGGGTGCTGCTGTAGTATAATGGTTTATGGGGTGATAAAAAGTAGCTTCCCTAGTCGTAAAACGGGCCAATTCGTTTAATTTATCTCTAGGAGTTTATAATACTCACCGCTATGAGAGTTCATCCGCTGCATCCACGGGAAGATCTGAATGTTCCCCTTCTGTTCCTGCGAGCCGTTCATGCCCTGATCAGACGGGTAATCCTGCGCGAGCGAGGTTTGTGCACCTTGTCCCAAACTGCTCTGCCTACAGCTGGGCAGCACGTCCTTGTCTTGGTAAAACACGTTGGATCCATACTCGTATGGTCCCCTGCTCGAGCCGAACACGACGTTGTCTTGGGGCGAATAGAAAGGCGAGGAATATATCCGGTTTTGGGCCACAGCGGCTCCGTAGGATGAGAAGTGTCGAACAGCGTCGTAGGTAGTTGAGTTTAGGGCCACGTTAGGTAAAACCTCTTGACCACCAGCTAAATGGCATGAGAGCGACGGGTTTGCGAAATACGAATTCATACCTTCCCTCTCTCCCTTGCTCCCTCTTTCTCTTTCCCTCCCTCCCTTTCAATCTCACCTCTCTCTCTCTCTATTCTCCCTCTCTCACACTAAGTCAGTCTCTTTTTTTCTCTCTCTGTCTATCTTTTAATACCGGCACGCTGTATGATTTCTTTATTATGTATTTCTGTACGCCAATAAAGACACAAGGCACAAAGCCGAATGTTGTTGCTAAAGCCTCACTCTAGGATGGACAAGATGACAATGTCAGCTGACCAAATTTCCTCCAATAAAAAGCAAGGAGTAGAGGGTCTGAGGGAGAAAAAAACGTTACTTCATTTTTTAAAATCCTTGGTTGAAACTACTCTCACATATGCGCATGTACACACACACGCCATCGCAAGCTAATACATTGTCATATGCGTGCGCACATACACAAACACAAACGACATACATAGGGAGCATTTACACACACTGGCTTACCTGGTTAAATAAAGGTGAAATACAATTTTAAAAAGTAAATAAACACACGCACGCGAGCGCGCACGTGCACGTGCACGCACAAACTAGCCACCTACTTGCCAATCTGCTTCCGCAACACATATTATTTGTTGCACAGTAGCCTATACTATATTAAAGCAAAAAATAATAACGCTAATGCTCATAAAGGTATAAAGAAGATGCATTGGATGAACTTAATCAGATAGGCCATAAACATTTACATTAATCAATTAGCCTAAATGTAGAATGTAATTATTGAGAGAAATAGATGCCAACGCTAGACAAGCATGCTCTATTTCAATGATTTGACTTGAGTTCAGTCTCTTGTCATTAAAAAAAAAATGGACCTTAGAGACGACGGAGAGTTATGTTTTCAAGCCTCTCGGGTCGAGAAAATAAGATTAGGCTCCGCAACTGCAATACAGTGATCGAATTATTCAGTTAGAAAAATCTTCACAATACTGCCCTCTTAAATCGATGAATATATTTTTTCCTCGGTGTGAGATACATAGTTTATAAACTGATTAAAAAGCATTATTTATGTTAAACAAAGGGGATTAATCCAATTGTTCAAATAGAGTCTAGAAAACGTGTTTGGGTGACATTGAATTATATAGTTCATAATAGCAACGTTGCTATAGGCTTTAGACTTACATGAATGGACTGAATATTTATGTATTCGATAATAGGAAGGGCCATAACACAGTTATCTAATCTTTTGATATAAAATCCAAATAGTACGTATTGAGTTCATTCAGTTTGACATAAAACAAGTCCTAACACAGGCTTGTTTTGAAGGCTAGAGGCTGACAGGAAAACTGAACACAAGAGCGTGCGCTTTGACACACACACACACACACACACACACACACACACACACACACGCACACACACTCGCACACACACACACATATATACACACACACACACACCTAATTTCTCATTAGAGCTGGAATGACACGAAATAGTTTGCCATGCAATGGGCTCACTGTTACTTATGTCACGATAGGAGTTATGAATGGAGTTTAATTTTTCCTGAAATTGCGTTGTGGTGGATAGTCGGGCATGTAAGGATATGCCAACATCTTTTGAGGCTTCTCCATCAAAAAGACAGGTCTAGGCTACATTTGATAGCATATGACGTTGCCTGCTATAGGCTATAGCCTACAGCAACTTTTGACAATAATTAGATTAGAGCTGGTGCACGAAATTCGACAAATTTATTCGAAGAGGTAAGGAAAGTCTTATATTGGGACAAGAGGCTTTTTGGCGCGTTGCCCCTTTGTTCAGTGGGAATTCTTTGGGCAAAAAGAGTGGGGGTTTATTGCAGTTTTACATCGAAAAAATGTCTTTAACGCCCGTGTAAGCCGCAGAAGTCATAAAACCAGACAAATGACAGCTTCCAGTCTACCGCCTATAACACTCCTCTACTGCATGCACTGTGTGTATCCGGGTGTGGGAAATCCTCGCCCAACAAAGAAATTAACTGCACTAGTGAATGGAAGGCTTTAGCGTTACCGCATGGAAAGAGAATAAACTTAAATTGAAGACACTGGATAGTCAAGCGGTGCCTTAAAAAAAAAACATAATGGACAAAACCACAAAATTATGTTAGACCTATTACAAACAAGGCCAAAAGGCTTAAACAGCAAGAGAGCAAAGTTTATTAAACTACAGTAACCTATACTGCAGTGAGGGTTGTAACTGTAATAGTTGATAATTCGTTGATGAAACAGCTAAGCCAGTGAGATGGAAAATATTAATAATTGTCGGTACAGGCCTATTGCAGGACAATGCAATATAAAATAAACGATGAAAGAAGAAAATATAGCGAACATCCTGCTTTTAAAATATGCACCCCAAAAATATTTCAAATGTGTCTGTGGCGTTAAACTCAGATTATTAGACTTCCATATAAACAATATAGCCTATCTAAAGTTAGATTTGAATGACAAGCCATTAGTATTAGGCTATCTTTTCTTTTTGGAATAACATGGGAAAGATAATACGGACTTTTATGACAGGTTTGATGAATTCGATTAATATCCACATAGCCTAATCAATCCTACTCCGCCTTCCAAATAAAAGTTCCGCACTCAGTTTAATCGAACTAATGAGCTCACGGGTCTGACAGAAGTTGTCGGATACAAACGTGGTGTTCCCCAAACATCCTTTGATCTCTACATCCGAATGCCTTTAAAAGGCTATTACTTTAATGTGGGCCATATGACGAACGCAGCAGTTGGAATGCAGTGGGATGTTATCGGTGAGCCTTTACATTATTGAGCAGACGCTCTTATCCAGAGCGACTTACAGTTAGTGAGTGCATACATTATTTTTATTTTTCATACTGCCCCCCCCCCCGTGGGAATCGAACCCACAACCCTGGCGTTGCAAACGCCATGCTCTACCAACTGAGCTACATCCTTTCTCTGAATTGAATAGAGAACTAGTTCATATGGACATTTGACCTCTGTAAGCCAGGTTTATCATGCAACTCTTAAGATAATGAATACATGTATTAACTGAGACCCCCCTCCCCCCCCCCCTCCGCTCTATACCTCGCGTTAAACATAGGCCTATGTTGTTCCGTTTTCTGTGAAGGAAACGTGAATTGGTTTGGGGGAGAGGTAGAGAGCGGTTTTATTGTACTATGGAAGTGGAAGTGTATGGGGAAGTGTTTTATTGCACCCTTTGTGGAAGACAGTCTGGCATTTGCACGGAAAAAACAGCTGGTCACTTATATCCTTTGGAGGTCTGGAGGTATAGCCTACCATTTGAACCAGACAAACAACGAATCAGACAAAAATAAGCCTCCAATTGTTGTCCTGAAAATAATAGAATTGTGTTCTGTGCTACGTTATTATTCGCAGATACAGCAAGTCTAACTCAGCCTTAGAGGTATACAAGAGTAGCACAATCTTCCCATTTTAAAAACAAAGTATTGCAACTCTAACTCTGTCTTATGTGCCAGTAGCACAAATAGGATAGGTAAGTAAATAACTAGACTACACTGATAATAACAATTATGATTTCAGGGTTATAGGCTACGTTATATTCAATAGGCTATTACTGGTGTAATGCTGAAATAGTCGCTAAATTACAACATTATCTTTCTTGCATAAGCAAAACAACCCTAACCATAAGTCTTTGAAATAAATTATTATTATTATTATTATTGTGCTATTATTATTATAATTATTAAATAACATACTTATTCTGATTATTTAAAACAGTTTAATAAAGCACAATAGCAGACGGGGTATCATAAGCCATCTGCATTTTAGGACCAATAGCCTACCAAAGACATGCGATTTACAATTGATATCTCCCAATAATATCTAAATACTTTGAACCATACATTTTTGTATTTTCAACGAATTGTATCCCCAAATAAAGCAACATATTGAAGGCCTACTCTTGTAAATATAAAGGTTTAAAAAGTGTCTTTACCCTATGAGGGGTGGAGTTGCCCTTCTCTAAAACTGTTTTTTACCAATTTCCTGATTAGGTGCCATGTGAAGGTGAGAAGTCGAGCGCATTGTCAATAGCACCCTGCTTTTACAGCACAATAAATGAACAATAAACTGCTATGAAAACAACCTTTCTAGGCCTTGCATTTTTGGTGCAGCGTTTTGGGTGTCAGCCAAATATTAGCCTACCTATCTAGATGCCCATCATTTTATTCTGACATGAAATTTGTTGACTCGAATAAATATTTAGTCTTAATGTTGTATTTTTTTCTTCTTGAGTATAATGTTTAGGATAGCCTGCTGTAATCTATTTACAAGTAGGCTATAGGCCTACACATTTGTTGTGTATGATGAAATCTGGTAAAGGCCAGGCATGCATGCCAAGCGTTTTGTGATGATAGATTCTCCCTTATAGGCAGGCCTACAAAGTTTCCTCATTTGTTGACTATGAGGCCATAACATTTAATAACCTTACACCCCCTCACTTACGTTTTTTCTCCCTCTCTGCAGCTCTGCGGAAGAATAATCTGAACGCATGTGTCCTTGGATAAACTCCAGGAGGCCCAAGAACTGGAACAATAAAAAGGATCTGCTGCAATCCTCTGTCAAAATAACAACAAATCTGTGGACATTCGTCCCGCACAATATTGTAAAGGAAATGGCAGAGGAAATAGAAGTACATTTTCTTAAATTATACTGTTCCGAATTTATTGAGGCCAAATAGATAGTCGTTAAGGGACAAGTTTGTCATGGCAAACTTTGTGTGTGGTTAGCACAAGACAAATGTTTTTGGATGACTAGTTAACAGGACATCTGCGCGCTCAACCCGAATTTACGCAAATATATTTCTCTGACAATCCACGATTTACGGGAAAATGTGAGTTGCGCGCCTATCTCAGGTCAGGGTTAGGGTCATATGCTGCAGCTATTTGACCCATTTCTTGGCAAACGACAAAACTCCATATCTTGTAGGTAATGGACTGCAGCCCACTCGTTTTACATGGGAGGTATTTAAAGGGGTAATAAATTGTGGTCTTTCCTTCTTGG